TGTGTGTGTGTGTGTGTACCATCAAAGCAGATTTGACTGCTACAGAAGGAGATTGTTCCTCCTTCTCCAGCAAAGCATCTGGTGGATTTGAACCGCACACCTCTGGTATTGCAGTGCAGCTTCTTGCCACTAGGCAACCAGAGCTCGCCAAAAAATTTCTTATCAGTAATTATCATTTTTCTTTCATGAACAGAGTATGATGTGCATTTATTTAGTCAAACAGCTACTCACAAGATAAAGACCAAGAATATTGGAAGGCTCTAGGACACATCTAAGGAGCTTGAAGTGGGGGTATGGATCTTTGACACATAGCCTTGCTATGATTAGTGTATTGCTTAAGGACCAAGAGTTCCAAGGAGCCCATTATAAATAGCTGGACATAATAGGAGTCTGCATATCCAGTTTGAATTCTCATTCTCTCCAGTAGAGTTTCCTAACATACTGGGATAATGTTCAAGGGTTAAAGGAGTCTGGGGCTGAAAAAGAACTCGTTTCCTGATTCTTCCGGCCTTCAGCCCCTTAGACTTACTTCTCTATGCTCTTGGGCCTGTGGTAATGCAAACTGTTGTTGTTGTTGTTTAGTGTCATCAAATCAACTACAACTTCTGGACAATGATCTTAACATTGCCCTATCCTACACCGTCCTCATGATCTCTGCCATTTCCATTATGATAGTTACTGTGTCAATCCATCTTCTAGAGGATCTTTCTTTCAGTGGCCCCCTACCTTTCTCAGCATGATGCCTCTTTCCAAGGATGTCCAAATTAAATGAGACAAAGTTTAACCATCCTTGCTGTAAAGTCACCAAGGAAGGATAGAACTCAGTTCAGATCAAGAAAGACAGTTTATTGAGAAGCTGCCTGGCTGCCTCTCAAGCAGAAAACCGGCCCACACTAAAAGTTAGGGTTTTGTGTTTTCTTACAAGGAACTTGGGGAAGGGGATGCTCACAGATTTTTTTCTACAAGATAGGGAAGTGGGCTAGGGTCTCAGATAACTATTTTTGGGAAAGGGTAGTTTCATATCTTTGATATCTTTGATAGAAAAAAGCACAGCTGCTGCTTCCTGTGATTGGATTCTTTCAGTAGCCATTCTGGGAGAGGAAGGAAAGTGTTCTGTAGTCCTAATACTTGCCTTCATTAGGAACATTCTGCGCTTCCTTCAAGACAGACTTGTTTGTTCTTTTGGCAGTCTGCGGGATATTCAGTACACAATTCAAACACATTGATTCTTCTTCTGTCACCTTATTCATTGCCCAACTTTCAGGCCTATACGAAGCAATTGAAAATACCATGACCTGGATAAGTTGCACTTTAGTCTTTAAACTGTTATCTTTGCTCTTAAAATTTTTGAGAGGTCCTTGACAACAGATTTCCCCAATACAACACTTACCTTTTTTTTTGTTTTGTTTTCGTTTCTTTCCTGCTGCTACCATGGGAGTTGACAGTGGATTCAAGTAAAATGAAATTTTTGATAACTTCAATCTATTCTTCATCAGTCATGTTTCAGTGATAAGGGTTTTTGTTTTCTTGATATTGAGGTGTAACCTATATTGAAAGCTTTACTCTCTGATTTTCTGCAGCAAATGTTTCAAGTCTTCACTTTCTACAAGCAAGTATAATGTATAATTAGTCAATTAGTATAATGTCAATTATTCTTCCTCCACTCCTAATACCACATTCTTCTTGAAATAGTTCAACTTCTTGAATGATTTATTCAATATACAAATTGACTAGGTATGGAGAAAAGATGCAACCCTGAAACATACTTTTTCTGATTTTAAACTTTGCAGTGATCCTTTGTTCTGTTAGGACAACTCCTTCTTGGTCTATGTGTAGGTTTTGCATGAGCACAATTAAGTATTCTAGAATTCACATTCTTTTTAATGTTAGCTACACAATCAAATGGCTGTGGATAATAAAACACCAAAAAACATATTTTTTTAGTATTTTCTGCTTTCAGCAAAGATCTATTTCATATCAGCAATGATATTCCTTATGCCTCTTTAGAATCCAGCTTGAATTTCTGGAAGTTCCCCATCAATGTAGTGCTCCAGCCACTTTTTCATAATCTTAAGCAAGGTTTTACTTGCATGTAATATTCTTTGAAATTTCCACATTCCATTGGATCACCTTTTTTTGAGAATGGGAGAAAATGTGGATTACTTCTAGTAAGTTTGACTAGGTAGCTGTCTTCCATATTTATTTGCAGAGACTGGTGAACATGTCTAGGGTTATATCTCTTTCCTTAAACACTCCAACTGGCATTCCATCAATTCTTATGAGTTTATTTTTTTGTCTGTGCCTTCAATGCAGCTTGGATGTCTTCTTCAACACCACTGGTTCTTGATCATATACTATTTACTGAAATGGTTCAATAACAACAATTTTTTTTAACCCGTTCTTTTTGATACAGGGCTTGTGTGTATTCCTTCCATTTTCTTTTAAAGCTTTCTGCATTGTTCTAGGTTTTGTCCATGGAATCCTTCAGTACTGCAACTTGAGCCCGAGTTTGTTTTTCAGTTCTTTCAGCTTGAGATATGTCAAACTTGTTCTTCCCTTTTGGTTTTCTAATTCTGGAACCTTGCCCATTTCATTATAATGCTTTGCTTCATCCTAATCTTCCTATTGAAGTCTTCTGTTCAGCTCTCTTACCTCAACAGTCCTTACCTTTGTTGTGACTTCTTTTTGTTCCAAATGCAAGTTTCTGAATATCTTCTGATATCCATTTTGGTCTTTTCTTTCTTCCCTGACTTATTAACCTTTCACTTTCTTCATGGATGATGTCCTTTGCTATTCACCCATAACTCGTGTGGTCTTCAGTCATTAGTGTACACAGTGTCAAATATATTCTTAAGATTGTTTAAAAATTGAGTTGGGATACTCTTGAGTTCTTGTGGACTTAATTTTTTTTCACCTTCAGTTTCTATTTGCACATAAATGATTGATGGTCTGTTCTATAGTCAGCTGTAGACTATTGACTGCTGATATTGAGCATCTCCAACATCACTTTCCACAGATGTAGTCAATCTGATTCTTGTCTAGTCCATCAGGTGAAGACCATGTCTTTTGTCACCATTTATCATTGATTGTTTGGGGTTTTTTTAAGTAGCTACAATGAATAAATAACTCCTTGTGCGAAATTCTATCATTCAGTCTCCAGTCTCATTTCTCTCACCAAGATCATGTTTTCCTAACTCCCAGTTCTTCTTTGCATTCCAGTCATAAGTTATTTTTAATGCATCTTAATTGCATGTTCAGTAAATTTTAGACTGCTTGTTGTTGTTGTTATGTGCCGTCGAGTCACCTGCGACTCATAGAGACCCTATGTACAACAGCCCTAAACCCTGCTCTATCCTGTGCCAATCTCACTGTCTCCGACAAACCCACACCCATTACACCAGTCATTAAATCAATCCATCTCATCAAGGGTCTTCCTCTCCTGCGTTATCCCTCCACCCTTCCAAGCATGATGTCCCTCTTCAAGGACTAATCCCTCATTGCAACATGTCCAAAGTATGTCAGATGAAGCTTCAGAATCCTTGCCTCCAAGGAGCAGCTTGGCTTCACTCTCTCCAAGACAAACCTGTTGGTTCTTTTAGCAGTCCATGGTATGTATATTCTCTTCTCCAGCACCACAACTCAAAGGCATCAATTCTCCCTCTATCATTCCTACTCATTGTCCAGCTCTCTGATGTATAGAAAGTGATTGCAAAGACCATGGCATGTATCAGATGCACCTTAGTCTCCAGACTGACATTGTTGCTCTTCAGTGCTTTAGAGAGGTCTCTAACCACAGACTTTCCCATTGCAATATGTCTTTTAATTTCTTGGCTGCTAGTGCCAAGAGTGTTGACTGTGGAGCCAAGCAAACCAAAAGTGCGAACAATCTCAATCTCTTCACCATTCGTCCTGATGCTACCAGTCGGACCAGTGGTGAGAACCTTTGTCTTCTTGACATTGAGCCTCAATCCATACTGAAGACTGCAGTCCCTGACCTTCCACAGCAAGCGCTTCAGGTTCTCCTCAGTTTCAGCAAGCAGGGTTGTGTCATCTGCAGAACGCAGATTGTTGATGAATCTTCCTCCAATCCTGATGCCACATTTCTCCTCAGAGAACCCAGCCTCCCGGATAAACTGTTCTGCATAAAGAATGAAAAGGTATGGAGCTAGGATACATCCCTGGCATACACCCTTCCCAATTTTGGACCATGCAGTGTTTCCTTGTTCTGTTCTGACGACTGCCTCCTGGTCCAAGTATCGGTTTCTCATTAGCACGATCAAGTGTTCTGGGATTCCAATTCTTCTCAGAGTTAGCCACAGTTTGTTATGATTCACACAGTCAAATGCATTTGCATAATCAATGAAACAAAGATAGACATTTTTCTGGTACTCCTTGCTTTCAGTCAATATCCATATAACATTAGCTACAACATCCCTGTACAAAACTTCAATATTTTAATCTTTGTCTTTTCTGCTTGATGGGTGTATTTGAATAATAGTTGCATTAAGACTTCCTTACATGTGTATGGGTAGTATCCTAATTTATCCTCAACCTGATCATGTCTTTGCAATTTAGTGCCTTTGGGAAGATAAATGAACTAATTTCAAGTTGACAATTTATAGTTTTTTGTTAGTCATCAAAAAGGTAAGACTATATAAGTCTTAGATATGTTTAACTATGTCTTTCTTCCTCTTTTCCCCTTTCAGTTCCCCATGAGCAACTTTAGACTTGCCATAGACAAGCTGAAGGAAGCAAACATAAAAACTGAAGAGATAAAGCTAGCATTTACAGCTGCTGACTCTATGTGCACAAAGATGCTGGATTATAGTACATTCAGGTAAAGAGCAATAATATGTTTCACCCTCAAAGAACAGATAGGATAACCCCCCCAACCAATTTAATTGTTGTTAGGTGCCATTGAGTTGACTCTGACTCACAGTGAACCCGTGTAGAACAGAAAATACTGCCTAATCCTGTGCCATTTTGACTATCTTTGTCATGCTTACCCCTCTTGCTGAAACCACTGTGCCTGTCCATCCTTGTGAGGACTCTCCTCTTTTTGCTGACCCAATACTTTACCAAGCGTGATGTCTTTCTCCAGGACTGGAATCCTTCTGATCACTTGCCCAGTGTATGTGAGATAAAGTCTTAACCTCATTTCACACTTATTCTTACTTCCAAAGAACATTCTGACTATACTTCTTCCAAGTCAGATGAATAAATTTAGTGCATTTTTTTAAATTAGAGATTGACACTTGCTTGCATTTATATTACTTTAGGGAGCTCTGGTGGCTTACTGGGTAAGGAGTTGTGCTGTGAACCCAAATGCAAGAGGCTTGAATCCAGCTGCTTAATGGGAGGAATATGAACAATCTCCTCTCATGCAATTTAGATAGCCTCTGAAAACCCACTGGAGCTCTGAGTCAATTCTGATTCAATGGCAATGAGTTTGAGGTGTTGTGTTTATATTACTTAATGGTCACATTGTACTCATTAATATTCCAGTATATTGTGCATTTGGATGTCAAATAAATTTATAGGTAAGATCAGAGAAACAAAACCATCAAGAGCTATTTGGTCCCATTATCTAATGAATTGTAATACTAAAGGATTAGGAAAATGCTAAGAATGTGAAATTTGCGTGAGAAAGGAGGTGGATAGATAGATAGATAGATAGATAGATAGATAGATAGATAGATAGAAAAAGATTTGAGGGCAAGAGAGAGGAAGAAAGAAACTGGTCCCAAGAAATGAACAGGACTTTATTGTGTGGTCTGGGAGGGACACCAAGTAGGGAAGTTTCTTTTTATAGGGATCTTGGAGAGGGTTAGGAAAGATGGTACCTCTTGGAACTTGGGGCAGGGCAGTTAATTAACTCGCCTTATCATGATTAATTATTTGGTCTGGTCTTTGTCCTGGCTGTCCATGACACTATCAGGTTTCTAAGGGAGTGATTAGTCCTGAGGGCAAGTGCAACATTCTTGACATTCTCCTTCCAGGAGCACCCCTCCAAAGTATGGGAAATGAAGAAGGGATATCTTTATAGGAATGTGATTAAGTATAAAAAAGGTAGAAAATTTACTAATTTTTCAGATAAAAGGTGATATCTTGGTTTCTTATTCCTGACAAAATAGAAATATCACAAGTGAGTAGCTTTAAAAAAATAAAAATTTGTTTTTCCACAATGGTGGACACTTAAAGTCCAAATCAGGGTCTTGGATACTTAAGATCCTTTTACAAGTCTCTCTATTGGTTTCTAGTGACTATTGGCATTTCTTTGCTTGTAAACAAACCTCATATGTGGTCTATCTTTACTTATGTGTGCCTGTTTTGCTCTTTTGATAACTTATAATTGATTTTGCTTAGGACAGACCTATACTGGAATGACTTTGTTTACAAAAGAAAACTTTTTTCAAGTAAGATCATATCCAAATGTTGTTGTGGTGGTGGCATGCCTTCGAGTTGCCTGTGACTCATAGCGACCATGTACACAACAGCCCTAAACCTAAATCCTGCTCTATCCTGTGCCAATCTCACTGTCTCCGACAAACCCACACCCATTACACCAGTCACTAAATCAATCCATCTCATCAAGGGTCTTCCTCTCCTGCGTTATCCCTCCACCCTTCCAAGCATGATGTCCCTCTTCAAGGACTAATCCCTCATTGCAACATGTCCAAAGTATGTCAGATGAAGCTTCAGAATCCTTGCCTCCAAGGAGCAGCTTGGCTTCACTCTCTCCAAGACAAACCTGTTGGTTCTTTTAGCAGTCCATGGTATGTATATTCTCTTCTCCAGCACCACAACTCAAAGGCATCAATTCTCCCTCTATCATTCCTACTCATTGTCCAGCTCTCTGATGTATAGAAAGTGATTGCAAAGACCATGGCATGTATCAGATGCACCTTAGTCTCCAGACTGACATTGTTGCTCTTCAGTGCTTTAGAGAGGTCTCTAACCACAGACTTTCCCATTGCAATATGTCTTTTAATTTCTTGGCTGCTAGTGCCAAGAGTGTTGACTGTGGAGCCAAGCAAACCAAAAGTGCGAACAATCTCAATCTCTTCACCATTCGTCCTGATGCTACCAGTCGGACCAGTGGTGAGAACCTTTGTCTTCTTGACATTGAGCCTCAATCCATACTGAAGACTGCAGTCCCTGACCTTCCACAGCAAGCGCTTCAGGTTCTCCTCAGTTTCAGCAAGCAGGGTTGTGTCATCTGCAGAACGCAGATTGTTGATGAATCTTCCTCCAATCCTGATGCCACATTTCTCCTCAGAGAACCCAGCCTCCCGGATAAACTGTTCTGCATAAAGAATGAAAAGGTATGGAGCTAGGATACATCCCTGGCATACACCCTTCCCAATTTTGGACCATGCAGTGTTTCCTCGTTCTGTTCTGACAAATAGATTTCTCATTAGCACAAACAAGTGTCCTGGATTCCAATTCTTCTCAGAGTCAGCCACAGTTTGTTGTGATCCACACAGTCAAACATCTTTGCATAATCAATGAAACATAGATGGACGTTCCTCTGGTATTCCCTGCTTTCAGCCAAGATCCATCTAACATTAGCTACATTATCCTTAGTACCAAAACCCTTCTAAACTCAGCCTGTACTTCTGGAAGTTTTCTGTTGATGTGCTGTTCCAGTCTTTTTTGGATAATCTTCAGCAGAATCTTGCTTGCATGTGATATTAATGTTATTGTTTGTTAATTTCCACACTGTGTGGGATCACCTTTCTTTGGAATAGGAACAAATATAGATCTCTTTCAGTCAGTTGGCCAAGTGGTTGTTCTCCAGATTTGGCACAATTTAGTGAGTTCATCTAGGGCAGCATCTGTCAGTTTAAGTATGTCAATTGGTCTATCATAAATTCCTGAGGCCTAATTTTTAGCCAATTCTTTCAAAGCAGTTTGAACTTCTTCCTTCATCATCACAGGCTCTTGCTCATATGTTGTTTCATGAAATTCTTCTGTGTCTGCCAATTCCTTTTCTTATAATGACTTCTTGGAGAAGGGCACAATTTAATCCATAACAGGTGATATGAACATATTTATATACATGTATACTCACACAGATTTGTGTAATTTGAAAGGCATTGCAAAGATTGTTGTTGTTAGGTGCCATCTAGTCAAGTATAACCCATAGCAATCCTGTAACTAAAAGGTCTGAACCTTCTTCTATCCCGTGCCATCTTCACACTTCCTGACATGCAAGAGCCCATAGCAATAGTCACCATGTCAATCCACCTGGTTGAGGGTCTTCCTCTCCTTCACTAACACTCCACCCTTGCCAGCATTATGTCTCTCTCCAAGGAATATTCCCTCAGAGCAACATGCCCAAGGTATGTGAGGTGAAGCCTCATCATTCTTGCCTCCAAAGATAGAAATCTCAAAAAATATGGTGGCAATACTTAGAAATCTTGGAAGAAATAGTAGACAATAAAGATTTCCCCAAGGTAAAGCTGAGGTCTGAGGCAATGGCTGACTAGGACAAATTTACAAACAGTTGAAACACAGAGAAATTAATATTCAGGGCCTAGTACAATTGTGAGTCCTTAGCCTAAGGACAAAGTAAATAGGGCATTCAAGAGAATGTAAATTAAATCTTGGCTGGAAGAAAAAGAGGGCTTTTTTTCTCTTTAGGTCTAGAATTCTGGCTCTTGAGAACAATATTGCCTGAAAGCTATACAGTAACTGCAGCTTGATGTAGTCAAGTTGTGGGCTGCCATGTAAGAAAGTGGACCCAGTAGAGGGCAACGGGGAGGTCCTGCCAACTTTATTTCTATTGTATGGGCTTTAGGTTACCAGGGCAAGAGAACCATAAGAGCTTGTTTGGTTTTTTTGAACAAAACTCTTTTCCCCCTGCAAAATATTCTTTGGGGGTAAAATAAACAGTCAGAGGACATATGTTTACTGCTCAGAATTATCAATTTTTAGGGATCAATATGAATTTCTAGTTCTTTGTTATTGTTCATAGTAGTACACATGTTCATTATGTTTTGGAAAAATAAAGGAGATAGAGTAAAGAGAAAAGCCAGTGGCTTAGAGCATGGAAAGTAGTGGAGGAGCCAGCAAAAAAAATTTGCACCAGAAATGAAGGAGTGGTTTTGCTTTAATTTTTTGTGCTCTTTAAGCAAAGCATTCATTTTTTTCTAGCACTTTGGTTCAGTCTACGGGAAATCCTTAAATGACTTTACGGGGTTTTTGTGGAATCACTAAGGCCAGTAAGAAGATCCAAAGAGCAAAGTTTCTCTGCAAACCTAACCCTTATTAAAAAAAAAAAAGAATTAAATATTTGTGGGTGGAAAAAGTCATTGACATTCAGTGCAGTTGGAGGGATGGCTTCAAGGCTCTTCCTGGTCACAAAGAGCTTGTTCTGGCTCTTTGTTATATTCTCTCCTGGCCAGAAATTTCTTAAGATTAAAAACAATTCAGGTCATGCTCAGCTTGACAACCCTTCAGTGGTTTGCCATTGTCCTTCCAGTAATATCCAGACAGTTTAATATAGCTTAAAAGGGCTTGAGTGATGTGACTGCTTATGTTTCAATGCCATCAATTTCTGCATCCCCATATGTATTCTCAAGCTCTTTCTTGCTTTTAAGGCTATGTACCTTTTGCCTAGAATTCTACACCACCTTACCTTTCATGTCAAACTCTAGGATACTTGTTTTATTTTATTTTTATTTTATTTTATTATAACCTATGTGCAGAACAGATTATCCGCGAGGCAGGGCCCTATGAGAAGTGGGGCATCAGGATTCGTGGAAGATCCACCAACAATATGCATTATGCAGATGACACAACCCTGCTTGCTGAAACTGAGCAGGACCTGAA